GTGGCCGGGAGCTCTCCCGTCAGGATCTCCTGGTTCTGTGGTCGCCTTGTGGCCGGGAGCTCTCCCGTCAGGATCTCCTGGTTCTATGGTCGCCTCCTATCTGGGAGCTCTCCCATCAGCGTCTCCTGCAGTGCTGAGCTTTGTCCACAGTGGCCTTGTTTGGGATTTATGAGCCAGCTTGCTACAGGGAGGGGCCTTCTGGCTGCATGGCCCCTGACTCAGTGGGTGGCTTGCCTTGTCCAGGCCACTGTTTCCCTGAGCTTCCTGCAAGCCTGGAGCCTAGAGTTGCCCATCACAGAACCGAGCTCAAACCGCAAGGTCTCTTCATTCTCGGATGCTGAGGACCTGGTACGTCAAGCATGTCCCCACTAACAGATCCATGGGAAGAGCAGACTAGGACCCCGCCTCGGAGCACCCCAGCGAGAAGAAGGCGGTGCCAGCAGTGGGCTCCAGGCCCAGCCCGCCCGTGTCTGTGCCAGTCCGCCAGGCGGCTGGGGTGGAGGAGGGCATTCCTGTGCCGGGATCTCAGGGACCAGGGAGGCCCTGCTGAAGGACAGAGTGTCTGTGGCCTGTGCCCGAGCCCTGGTTCTTGGAGGAGCCAGGGAAACAGCAGCTGTGTGCACCAGGGTCCCAGTTAGAGAGGATAGGATGCTCACACTTCCTTCACGCACCTCCTGGAACCCCCTGTAAGGTGACAGGGACACAAAACGAGGAAAATGGCATCCTCCTGTGAGTGCAAACTCAGCAGGACGGGTCTGGAAGAACGGGAGTGGGTGGACTGGGCTGACAAGGAGAGCTGAGCTGCTGGGAGCAGTGTGCGGTCCCCGACTCCGCCCTGATGCAGGCTGCACTGATAGGCTCCTCCCAGCATGGTGGAGGCGGGCCCAGCTGAAAGGCTGCATCAGAGGCCCCTGGTCCTCCCCACCCAGGCACCTGCCCTCAGCTCCCTGTGGGACCCAAAGAAGAATGGACTCACAGAGGCTCCTGCTGGAGGGAGAGAGCTGGGCGACGCCGGACCCTGCAGCGGAGACACGGCCAAGTGCGGCAGGAACTTCTGGAAACCAGGCAATTAGGTGAAAATCGACACTCTGAGATGGGAGTCCTGCTCAGCTCCCCGAGGGCTCAGTCAGGAGACAGACAGCTTCTTTCTGGATACACTTCCCGCCTTTGTGACCTGAGGCCGCTCCATTCTCAGTGGCTGGAAATGGCAGAAACATTATCTCAAGGTCCTGGAGGCCAGAAGGTCCGAGATTGATGGTCAGGACCCTGCTCCGTCGGGAGGCTCTGCAGGAGGACCCGCCGTTGCCTCTGGCAGCTCTGGTGGCCCCAGGTGTTCCTTGGCTCGTGACCACAGCACCCCACTCTTTGCGTCCGTCTTCACGTGGCCTGCCCTGTTTGTCAAATTTCCTTCTCCCTTCTCTGATAAACACTCCAGCCACGGGATTTAGAGTCCATTCTACATCTAGGATGATTTCATCTTAACATCCTTCACTAGTCACATAGGAAAAGACCCGGTTTTCAAATCAAGTCAGATTCTGAGGTTCCCCAGTGGACATGAACTTTGGGGGGCCCCATTCCACCCACTGAACTCGCCAAGCCCAGATCAGAACCCCAGGTGCCATGAGCCGGGGGCCACAGGGCCCTTCTGCCCCCAGACGGCTGTTCAGCTCCAGGCTCCTAAACGTGGTGGAAAGCAAAGGTCACTGTTAGGAGAGAGAAACAAAACCAGAAGAAGCCGAAGGAGGAGGGGCGAGGAGCGTAGAGGCCGCAGGAGCCACTGAGGCAGCAGCGGAAGGGCAAGCACACCAGTGAAACCACAGCTCAGCCTCAGAGAGGGCAGAACGCATGCAAACACAGGAGCAGGCAGGGGGGTGCAGGGGCAAGGAGGCCGGGGGCCGGGCAGCAAGGGGGCTCAAGTGCTCCGCACCCCCCTCTGGCTCTCAGCCTTAGGGATGTGTGTGGCCAGTGGAAGGGTGCGGTCATGACCCACGCACTGCCCGGAACACTGGCTCTGAGCCCTGAGCCCTGCGGGCGTCATTAGCTTAAGCCTGTCCTGCTGAAGAGAACAGAAGAGCCCCACACTGGGTGAGGAGCTGGGCTGCTGGCTGGGCCCAGGCACCTCATGAGACAGAGGTGAGCCTGGCCAGCAGGCCAGCCCCAGCCACAGATGTCACCTCTGAGTTAAGGTGCTATTGGGACAGGGCCTGTCAGGGCAGTGGGGGGAAGGGGAGGGAGAGCATAAGGACAAATACCTAATGCATGTGGGGCTTAAAACCTAGACGGCAGGTTGATGGGTACAGCAAACCACCACGGCACATGTGTACCTACGGAACAGACCTGCACGTTCTGCACATAT